GACTGGTATCTGGAGGTCTAGGGACCTGTGTGCCCTTCTTTTCTGTTTTGTCCTTTCTCCTGTGTTCCCATTCTGAAGTTGATCTTAGGCTGGAGGGTGGTGGCCGGGAGGGGTCCAAAGGGAGCGGTTCCGTGTGTGTCCTCACAGCGTCTGTGTGCTGGGTCAGGCTCACAAGCACATATGGTGTAGGCTGTGTGTGGAGCGAAGCAGGGAGGTTTTTTACGGCCACCCTTCTTCCCACCTTTGCTGAGTCAAAGACAGAGATGCTTTCGTAGGGCTCAGGGACCAGGATTTTCCCCGCTGGAATAAAGGAGCCTGTGTAGAGCTAGAAGGGGTCGTATTTCTAGTGGGTGTGATGTGTATTCGTATGTGTATGTGAACATTTCTAGGAGCAACAAAACAAGTTAACTTGATAGCCGCAGCGCCTAACACAGTCATAAAAGTTGGGGCAGGGATGTCCCAGAGGCTGGAAGGAGTGTCATTGCTTAGGCGCTGCACCAGGGCTGCGTTTTCACTGCTGGGCTTGGGCGTCTATGAGTGCGGTGCATGTGCGGAGGGGCGGTTCGTGGTGTAAGAGCAGGTGGGCGGAGGGCACCCCCCCCAACCCTGCGGTGACGCATGCGCTGGTGTCACAGGCGCTGGGGCATCTCCACGCGCTGGGGCAGGCGTTGGCGCTGAAGACCTCCCTGGATTGGGAGTCGGTTGCTGTTGGTTGTACCTCCGCCCATAGCAGATGGAGTTGGCCCATGGCCACTAGCAAGAGGGCAGCAGCTGCAAGGCCAGGGTGACCCCAGGACACCCTCTTCCCCCGGAACTGCCACTGGTGGGGGAAGACAACCCCGGCTTAAGAATGAGGTGTGCGGGGATAGGGAGGGAGGACTTCCAGGCTCCCAGACAACCTTGTTTGAACCAACTGTCATGGGAAAAGCTCGGATGGCTAGTAGAGATCATCTGTATAATCTAACCGGTACTCCTCTCTTTTACAAGTGGGAGAGCCGACTGGCAGAGCTGCGACTAGAAACTGGGTCTGGCTTACCAAGGCTTTATAAACCTACCATCCTCACTGAAGTGGAAATGAATAATAATAATACATTATAAAATCTTAGATTTTGGAAATATGGGTGGTGGTATTACTTTGGCATTCCGGACTAGGAATATGATTTAGCGTAGGAAAAGCCCAGCCACTCTGTCCTTGATTTTGGGCTCCGCTTTCCTTGATTCATTAAACATTTGCTCCACAGTTATTTGTGTCAGACACGCTGCAGGAAACTGGAGGTACAGAGATTAAACAAGGACCAGTCCTCCCACATGGAGCAAAAGGGAAATTTCCCCAGACACCAGTAATTGAGGCAGGTGTGGGAAACTCCATGGGCGTCAGATACAAGGAACCGTGGAAACTCAGGAGATGTCATTTCTGGCTGACTGAAGGAAGACCCCAGGGAAGGGGTGGCATCTGCCCAGGAGTGGGTCATTTGAGGGCATTTGGAAACGGGCAGTGCATGCCAGGTAGAATTTTCAGTGTTGACAACAAAATTCCAGGTGAGTGTAAGGAATAGGAATAGTTTGGTTTGCCTAGAATGTAGGAGTGGATAAGGAGGCCATGATTATAGAGGGGACAAGGTGGGGAGTCAGTCGTGGGGAGCTTTGGAGGGATTCCAAGCAGAGAATGACAGTGCAGTGATTGCGGATGGTTCATGTGGCTAGGGGTGGAACCCTTAGCTGGAGAGTAAAGATGTTGGAGCAAGGATCCTTCCAGCTATGAGGGTCTGTGAATCAGTCAGTCTGGAAGCACAGGGCTTTATGGAGCCATCTCAGTGCAGCAGGACTTAGGATAAAAAGCGCAGCTGGAGTGAGAAAGGGTCCGAACTGAAAGGGGAGACTGTTGGACTGTAGGGATAACCTGTGATCCTGTTTCAGACTTCTAGTAGCGTTCTCGGGAGCAGTTTATGAAAAAGTGCTCTTAGTATTCCTGTAAAACTGGTGGCCTCATGGACATAAGCAGCAGTTAATCAGCCTGTTTGTGTAGGGGGGTAGTTATTTTTTCTGATGCGTCCCCAGGGACCACCAACATGGACCTATAAACAGGGCAGCCTGTTTTGGCAGTTGAAACAGGAAATTTCTTGTACAAAGATTAGAGACTTAACTTTCATGCCACTCTTTATTATAAACTAGCTAAACAACTGTTAAAATGAAGTATTTTTTACCTTCAAGGTGACACACAGAGATTGCAGTAGAGGACTTTATAAATAGATCATTAATTGGTTCTGCGTTATCGTATTTATGAAGTGCTACATTACATACTTGTGCCTGAATAAAATGGGAAGATGTGGTCAATGTAAATCAAATTACCCAAACAGACAGGTTATAGCTATTTTCCTAAGGTCTGCGTCTGGGTATCTTCTAGATACTTTTAGCCCCACCTTGACACCACCCCTGCAGGAGCAGAGCAGGTGTTACCCAAGACCCCACTTCTCATTATTCACTGCTTCCACATATGAATATTTTTAAAACTTCCTGTTGTTGTTACATGAAATGTATATTCTGTGTGCTTTGCAGCTTCTCTTTCTAATACGTATTTGGAAAGAGGGAAAAGACAAAGTGTTGTCTAGTAGCAATTCCTTTGGTGAATGGTATTGATCAGTGGTGTAACAAGAGACCGTGCAGTCTAGAATAAGGAGACAGACCTGGAACTGAATTCTAGTTCTCTCACTACCTGTGTGACTTTGGGCCTGATACTTAACTCATGTAGTTTCAGATTCCTCATCCGTGAAATGGTGATCATAATAATTAGCTCACAGTTGTTAACTAGTCTAACCATGTGCGAGAAGAGTTGCAGAAATGTCAGCGAGGGAGGCAGTATGGTGTACATGGAGAGAAGCAGTTAGGATTAGGAGCCTGACCTTGGAGGTAGGCTAATCAGGGTCCAGGTGTGGGTTCTGTGCTTTCCTGTGTGTGATTTGGGGTGAGTTCCTGAACTGCTATGAACATCAGGTTCCTCATCTTTAAAATGGAGGAAATAAGTATGCCTATTATGTGGTGATGATTGGAGGATTACACTTAGCATAATTTCTGGAAAATAGAATGGAAGAACATTAGAATTGCAAGGGACCTTAGACGGCCTCCTTACCCTGAGACCACTCCCCCTGCCCCCCCACCATGGAAGTCTTATTTTTATCAACCTTGACTGTGCCTAAATATTCCCAGTGACAGAAACTGCTGTCTACACAGGTGCTCCATTCCAGTATTGGGTCACCTTCAATGAGAGAAAAAGTTTCCTCATATACAGCTCAAAACAGCCTCACTATAACTTCCATAGAGAACCATGTTGGTTCTCTTCTGTGCTTTGTTAAAAAAAAAAAAAATCATTGGTCGTTCTTTTTTTTAATTATTTTTTTAAAAGTAATTGTATTTTCACATGCAGTTTTTAAGAAATAATACAGAAAGATCCCTTGTGCATTTATCCAATTCCTCCAATAGTAACATCTTGCAGAACTACAGCACAATGTCACAACCAGGAGACTAACATTGACACAATGCAGATGGCAGGGTATTTCTGTCACCACTAGATGCTCTCACGTTGCCTTTTTTATAGCCACGCCCACCTCACTCTCTCTCATCACTTCCTTAACCCCTGGCAATCACTATTTGTTCCCTATTATTATAATTTTGTCATTTGGAAATTATTATATAAATAGAACTATGCATTATATACCCCTTTGTCATTGGCTGTTTTCACTCAGCATAATTCTCTGGAGATTCAGCTAGGTCATTGTAGGTATCAACACTTTGTTCCTTTTTATTCCTTAGTAGTAGTATTCCATAGTAGGGCTGTGCCACAATTTGGTTAACTCTTCACCTATTGAAGGTCATCTGGGTTGTTTCCAGTTTTGGGCTACTATGTTATAAGCTGCTATAAACATTTTCATACAGGTTTTTGTGCGAATGTAAGTCTTCATTGTCCTCAGTCCCTGGGATAAATGGCTAGAAGTGCAATTGCTGGGTCATGTGGTCGTTAAGATTTTAAAGAAGTTGCCCACTTCGTTCAGAGTGGCTGTACCATTTTATATTTTCACCAGCAATGAATGAATGATCCAGCTATTCTTCATCCTTGCCAGCATTTTCTGGGGTCACTATCTCATTGTGCTATCTCATTGTAGTTTTAATCTGCCTTTCCATAATGTCTAGTGATGTTTACCATGGCTTACTTGACATCTGCATCTCTTCTTTGATAAAAGGTGTCTTCGTGTCTTTTGCTCAAGTTCTAATTGGATTCGTTGCTTGTTTATTGCTCAGTTTTGACAGTTCTTCATATGTTCTTCATGCTAGTGTTTTCTTGGATATGTGGTTTATGAGTACTATTTTCTCCTGCTCCATAGCTTATCTTTTTGCCCTTTTAGCAGAGCTTTTACAGTGAAAATGTTTTTAATTTCGAGGTCATCTAATTGTCAGTTTTTCCTTTTATGGACAGTCCTTTTGGTATCAAGTCTAAGAACTCTGTTTAACCCAGATCCTGAGGATCTTCTCCTCTGTGTTTTTTTTCCCCCTGTGTTTTAGAGTTTTACATTTTACATTTAGTCCATGATCCATTTTGAATTATGCTTTTGTATACATATGAGACTTAGGTTGAGGTTTTTTTTTCCTTTTTCTTTTCTTTTTTTTTTCCCAGTGAAAGTCCAAGTGCTCCAGCACCATTTGTCGAAAATCTGTAAAATACCGTGTGACCTTGGGCAAGTCAACTTACCTGCCTTGTCCTGTTTCCTCTGTCTGAAAAATGAGGGGGTTGCACTGGGGGACTAGGTGGGTGTTATTCAGGCTCCTTTCTGGAAGGCCTGGGGTCCCAGGAGCCTCCGTAACAGCAGGAATGTGGAGAAGGTGGGGCGATCATGCCCCTCCCCGACTTTGTCCAGGGCAGGGCCGCTTTTTCAGGTTTTACATTTTTGTGGGTCGTCTGATAATCTGGTTTGATACAGGACCCCACTGCTAAAAACAAGTTTGGAAAAGAGTTAGGTAATATCTGAAGGACCTCTCTGCAGTAAATTGCTGTGATTCTAAATGTTTGGTGTCAGAAATCACTTTCCCCTTATGTATTTGCCTTCAGGATCCCCCGTTAGTTTCTTGAGATCTTACTCATATGAAACATTTTCCTTGTTACCCTTGTCATCCCTCTTTATAAGTACGATAGGCTTCATGAAATCAATTAACATATGTTTCATAAATCAGTTTACAAGTTAGATGTCAGAATTTAAAATGTGTTAACTATATTAAAATTTTGTAGTGGAATCATTCACTCCACAGAATTATCGTGGCTGAAAGAGAGGCTAAGGAACTAGAATCACACCTAAGCCAGGAATGAGACTCTCAACCTTTACAAACAGCCCTCTCTCTCTCTTACCATTTACCTGCCTCGCTCTTGCCAGTTCATGAAGCACTTGCAACAGCTTTTTGAAACCACAATTCAGACTGCCTTATGCTTTCTTATGCCTGCCTTCATAATGAAACTGAGACTCAGGTGATTTGAATGATTTCCCAAACTGACAGAACTGGCATGTAATAGGACCTGATACAAGAGCTGCCATTTTTAACACCTAGTCCAGTTGTTTTCCTCTATATTTTATAGTATAAAGATTTCTGTGGGTGTTTTCCAAAAGTTGGCATTTTCTTTCTACTGTCGCATTTTTAACCTGTAAAATGGGTTAATCACATAATAAATCCAAATAGTTGTAGGTTTTTAAAAAATGAAATGGGGTTAATTGAGAGTGCATTTGGAAAAAATGTCACACTATACAGTGCTCTCTGTTCCAATGGTGGTTATTACTGTAAGCTTGTGTAGGTCTCTGGATTCTAGAGGCAGCTGTGTGTGCCTGCTGATTGCTATTGATGGGAAGTGTGTTTGTTTGTATTCTAATATATTGTCTGTTTTTCCTTTTAGTACCCACGTGGCCAAATTGTGAACTGCCATATTAATAAGACACAAACATATTTGAGAGGGTGGTTAGACTTCATGGTTTCCATAAAGTTGTTTTAATAGTTATTTTTAAACAGATGGGCAGCTTACATTTGGCCACATTTCTGCACCAGTGTGATGATTAAAATTTTCAACAGATGGCATACAAATAGTTGGGCAAACTCCCTTCCAATACTAATTGTTGTAAAAGAGACTTTTAGAGTGCCAGAAAAGTGATAGCCTGTCTTCTCAAGTCCTTAGCCTATGCTATTATAGTTATACTTTAGGTGATTTGGAAATTTCCCTTCCTGGCACTTGGATTTAGTCTGTAAATGAGCGTACATATCTGCATTAGAGTGAGAGATGATGAGGAACGTTCTGTTGTCAATTAAATATTCAATGTGGATACAGCATTAAATCCCCTTGTGATTATTGATGGACGCACGTAACTTCCTCTTCTGAGTCATTCTACTTCTGTGGCATACATAGAAAATGGAACCCTCCATAAGAGTCTGTCAGAAACATATGTTTTTTTTCTTTTCTGAAAATAATTGATTTTAAAGGGAAAAAAACCCCTACCAAACTTAGAATTTTCAGACATAGTCATCATATGATGCGTTCCCCCACCTTCCAAGTAACCCTGCTTCTACACTGACCACCCTGCACTATTTCTGGAATCAGCAAGGAATCAGGGAGTAACCAGGGGGAATGTAGAAATCTGTGGGGGTGTTTGTGGTTGTGACAATGACAAAGGGCATTTACTGATATTTAGCGGGTGGAGGCCAGAGTGCCTAGGCATGTGCAGCACAGTTCGGCACAAGGAAGGCATGCCCTGGATCCTATAGGATGCCTGAATATCTGTGGACACTCATCTGAGTGTGGATCTTATGTCTGCTTAGATTAACTCACAGAGTAAGTTTTGCAATACAAGGTATACAGAATATTAACATTCATCTATGCCTCTGCTCTTTTGATTTTACTCTGCTGCTGTATGAAAGGCTGAAAGACTTCTCTTCTACTCTGAATCCTGACTTTTTATGCACAGTAAGGCAACCATATAGATACTTTATTATGTCATTTTGTGTAGTCATGGACTGAGCATTTACATAGTAAAGCAGGTATCCATATAAATTTCCTTCCCTTTTCTATTCCAAATAGGGTATCATATCAATATATTTGCAATTTTGTGTATACATCAATTATATTATCCGTGAATTTCTGAATTTAAAAACAGAGTTATAAAATGCTTATTATAATAAAGGAACCCTGGGGTTCATCAGGATGAGAAGTATTGCGATAGAAAATTAAACAATAGCAGACAATTCTTTCTCCACTTGTCCACTTGTCCACATAATGCAGTGTTGGAATCATTCAAAGAAAAGGACAGGGGTGTGAGCCTGTCTTTAATAAGGAGTTCAATCTCAATAAATCCTGTCTCCCTATGCTTCTATGGAAGTCCTAAACTGATTTTCTTTTGGGAAGTTGTATCAGCTAGACGGTGTTTGTGTCTGTCATTACAGATGGCGTTTAATGATTGCTTTAGTTTGAACTATCCTGGCAACCCCCAGCCAGGGGACTTGATTGAAGTGTTTCGTCCTGCCTATCAGCACTGGGCCCTGTACTTGGGTGATGGTTATGTTATCAACATAGCACCTCTAGGTAAGGTTTGTTTCCAGCAGCTCCTGGGAGCTTTTCAGTTTTCTTGTTACAGAAGGAATCATGAACAAAATCACAATATAAAACAAAATAGATGTGAAACGTATAAAGTGTATAAATATAACTGATCTAGGTTTAAAGAAGGGTATTTTAAGACCAAAGTGGCATTGAAGAAATCATGAAGGCCAATCAAACATCAAAATTTAAAATTTCTGGTTTAAAAATAAAACAATAAAAAAGTAAATCATAAGCTGGAGAAAATATTTGCCACAAACATGACAAGAGTCCATGTCTTTATATATCACATAGATTATTTCAATTCATTCAGCACCTATTTATAGATTACCCAGCGTGTGCCAAATGCTACTTAAACCTCTCCCTGGAAAGAAGGAGAGAGGGAAGGAGGGAGGGAGTTGGGGGCGGGGAGATGGGGGAGAGAGAGAGAGAGAGAGAGAGAGAGAGAGAGAGAGAGAGAGAGAGATGGAGCGAGAGAGAGGGAGAGAGAGAGAGAGAGAGGAGGCTGTCAACAAAACAGCAGCGTTAGAATAGAGATTAGTTATATGGAGAAAATAAATCATAGAAGTGGGATAGGAAATGCTGGAGGTTGGGGGATACTGTAATTTTAATGAGGTGATCAGGAAAATCTCATAAGACAGTAACATTTGTAAAACAAATTGAAAGAGATGACGAAACCAGACAGATGATATCTGGAAAAAGAGTTTCTGAGGCCATGGCAATAGCAAACAGCCAGATTCCAAAAAACAAATGGGTAAAGAGTTGTGAACAATTTGTAGAGGAAGAAAAGCAAAAGCCAATGCCTATCTTTAAAGGCTTCAACTTTCTGGTCATTTAAGAATTATAAAATAAAATGACTGATTTTATTCCTATCACATTAGCAAAGGTTAAAAAAAAATAACAATGAGGGGCCGGCCGAGTGGCTCAATTGGTTAATAGCTCGCTCAAGAGAGTGAGCTCTGAGCAACAGGGTTGCCGGTTCGATTCCCGGCCCAAGCTGAGCTGCCGCTGAGCTACCAACAGGTGGTAGGATGGCTCAGCTAAAAAAAAATAAAATAACAGTGTTGTTAAGGGTGTAAAGAAATGAACACAAGGATATTGTTGATAGAAATGTAAGTTAATAAAATAGTTCATGAAAACAATTTAATAATATAAGTTAAGAGGCTTAAAAGAATTCACATGCTCTGATCCTATAATTGTACTTCTATGAATCTATTCTTGGGAAATGCCTACAGAGATGTAGACAAACACTTCTGTATAAGAATGTTTATGTCATCTCATTTATAAGGGTTTAAAAAATAGACAATGGCTTAATGTTTAATAGGGGAATGGTTAAACATTATTTAGCCACAAAATATTATGCATCTGTGTTTGGCAGAATTCTTTAGTTTGAAGTAACAGAAGTCAAACTAAAATTAGCTTAAACAAACAGGCAAACTCATTGCTTCACTGAAGGAAGCTATAGAAAGTTCAGTGATGGTGCTGGCCTCAGGGATGCGTAGGTCGAGGGGTATGAGCACAAGACTCTCTGTTTTGCATCTGCATTTTTTTCTATCTGCTTTCCTCATTCTTCCAGCCATGTCTCTCTAAGAAGCTGAACTGATGACTATCAGCATCCTTAGCTCTTATTTTTATAATCTTGTGAAACCATTAGTAGCAGTAGCTAATGCCTGCCTGTTGTAGTTAGAAAAATCATGGAGAATGACTCTAATTTGTCCACTGTGGGGCCCATCACTGGGCCATCACTGTAACCTGGAGAATAGGATACTGATTGTCCACACAGAGTCTTTTTCAGAAAGATAGAGGCAGTGGTCAGATGGGGTGCTAGATAGACAAAAACAATAGCCACTATAAGAGCCATTAAAAATCACATTTCTGGACATGTTTGATTGCATGAGAGATGATCCCTGTATGATATTTTATTTGAAAATTCCTGATTAAAATGCAACATGTCATGTGATAACCAGTTTGCAAAGAAATAATATAAACACATGAATATATACACATACATGTACCTATGCATGTGTTAATGAAAAACATAATAGAAGTACATAAAAAAAATAGTAGTTACTTCTGGATAACAGGATAATGGGTGATTTATATTTACATGTTTTTGCTGTATTTTTATGCATTTTCTAAATGCTTCAAAATGAGCACAAATTTATTAAGAAAAATATATGCAAATAACAAATAGCCTAGAGTATTTTTTTCCTCAAGATATCTTTAAAAAGAAATATTTATAGGCCTAAGTCAAACTTACCTGAGAACTTCTGAGAATTTCTAATGAAGTAGTTTTTGCAATATTTTGAGATATCTGTCTCTTGTTCTAGAATATTGAAAATGGAAATGGCAAATAAAGTGACATTTATTGTGCAGAGCTGGCAGTTTCTGCACAGCCTAGTAATTAACACTTAGCAACTCTACGTTATTTCTGCAGTTTTTCACATCTGAAAAATAATATGAGATGTTGATGCTGTTTCTTTATTTTCGCATCTTAAGCTCCATATTAATTTTATGTGGTGCAAGTACTGAGCTTTGATCCTGTAGACTGAAATTCAATTCCTGTTCCTGTTTCATGTCAGTTAACCTTCAATTTCCTTATCTGTAAATTGATTGCTTCAGACTAGTTAAAAAAAAAAGGGATCAGTAATTCTAATTCGAACTAGGATATTTATACTCTAAGAACTTGTAATGTGTAAGGACTTTCAATGTGTAACACACTAACTGGAAATGCTGCTCCAATGGAAAGGTGCTTGAAGGATAGAAAAAAAGAGGAGTGGAAAATGAAGTTTGCTTCCAGTCATTACTAAAAGGGATAGTGTCTAAACACTGGTTATATAGAGACCTTTCCTCTTGTGATTTATTAGAATAATGGCCAAGCATAGCAGTCTTGGGCAGATGGAGAGGGACCAGAGCCTGGCATTAGAAGTCAACACTGGGGAATCGTCTGTCCCACATCAGACACTGACTGTGGCAGGTCAGGACACAAAGGTCCCTGGCAGTCTTAGGCAAATGCTTCCTCATACAGTAAGTTAAGATGGAGTGCCGGCACGGAGCATTAGAACAGGTGGGTAAGCCACAGCATGGGGCCACATCTAGCAGACAGTGCATCTAGGTTAGGGTCAATTCAGGACATGATTTCTTGGCCAAGACTTAAATTCTTGGCAAGACTTAAATTCTTGGCAAGACAAAATCAGTGTCCCCACCTGCCCCCACCTGACCCCATGCAGATTTCAAATTGGACCCCAATTGAAGCCTCGTTAAAACAGTAAGTGTAAAAAGTGGAGGTGAGGGTAAGGAGTGCAGCTTGGTTGCTAGGACAGTCCTACTAATCATAATGAATTACTACTAAAGCCCAGTGATAGTAATTGGGAAGGATTCACTTGCTGAAAAAGAGACTACTTAATAGAAAAAAACGTGGGCAATGGTCTTATCTGTACTGTTAGATACATATACCAAGATTAATAATAATAATAATATAATAGATAACTTATTACTCAGGAATGGATAGTTTTCTACCCAATTTGTTCAATGAAGAGATACAGGTTTTCAAAAGATTTCTTACATTTTCACTCATTCAGTACTGAATAAGTGTTATTGATAAATTACAATGAGTGCTTAAGGCTGGTAAGATTAAGTGTTTCCTCGTTTGAAGATAAGTTGGGAACAGCTGGGTTTAGTTATCCCACGGCTTTCAAAGTCTTTAGATGGCACTGGAGTTCATTGGGTTGGGTCACTGTATCTTGCTAACCAGAACTCTCCTTATAGAGGACGGCATTCCTGCATCATTTACAAGCGCCAAGTCTGTATTCAGCAGAAAGGCCCTGGTGAAGATGCAACTCTTGAAAGATGTTGCAGGAAATGACACATTCAGAATAAACAATAAATACGATGAAACACACCCTCCTCTCCCCATAGAAGAAGTCATGCAACGGTCAGAGTTTGTTATTGGACAAGAGGTGGAGTATGACATACTGGCCAACAACTGTGAGCATTTTGTGACTTTGCTCCGCTATGGAGAAGGAGTTTCAGAGCAGGTGAGTTTTCCTTTAGAGACATATAAGACGTTTCCTACATTGGGGAAATGATAACTACTGACTATGACAGTGTCCCCAGGCCTCAAACAAAATGACAAGAAAATATGAGAACACTGAAGGATAAAGAAGGGAATTGCATTTTCCAAAGTCTTGCAGCCAGTTAATGGCCAAACTGAGACCAGAACGTAGATAGCATGAATGTGGGGTAGAAGGAACTTGAAGCAGAATCAAGACCATAACTTTCTGTCAGTCTTATGGCTCTCTGTCCTTCAATTTCCCCCACATTGCGCCCTCATACAGCAATCTCAAATCAGTAACCTCATATACTAAAAAGAATATGCTAAAAAGAATGTTGACTTTTTTGAGTGGGAGATGGTAATTCTGAGATTCTTTTCCATCAGCCGACAGAGGTCAACTGATGGCATATCTTGGTGGGTTTGTAAATGATTTCTATCTCCTTGCAATGCTAGTTTCAAAGAAACTTTGTGCTTTTAAGTATATCCTTTGATTCACTGAGCTTTTGGATTAATTGATCTTATTTTTAAGGGAGCTTACAATTTTATCATTTACCTACACTAATTTGCAGTATGGCAGATTACTAACTAAAAGAACATACTTGATTCAATTGCCTTTTCCCTACCTATCATCCCACCAATTTAATTCCATGATTGATATTTTAACCTAAATATTTATTAAAGTGGTATAAGAGAATGAATATATAAATGCTTCCAGTATCTTGAAATGGTGGATTGGTTATATAAACATCTATTCTAATCAATGAGGTTGCAATTCATCTCAAGCAAGCTTGAGAAAATGGGAGATGGAACTTAATGAAACAATACATTTGTTTTCGTTAGGAAATGATCTAATTGGAAATTCGTTTTTATTAGGAAATACATTAACATAATGAGTGTTCTATTCACATGGAACAGTAAATTGCTTCTGAGCCACAGCACAGAGTATTATACATACAAATACATGCTCACCTTTGTTTTGGAAACTAGTGGTATAGCTAGAAATCAGGTCTATTCTTCTCCATTCTTAATGATAAAGTTGTCCACTGCAGTCAATAAGCAATTTTTTTAAATGTGGCTAGATAAAAAGGAATTAAAGTCATCTTCTTGCTTTGACTCACACCTGCAACCCATTCATCATCTTTTCACCTTCCATACCCAGAATCAAGACCCATAAAAAAATCATCATTCCTCAACAATAGAACTGTTCTCTATGTAGATGGCTCTGATGTAGCTGGTGCAGTGACAGCCTTAAGAACCCACTTAAGCTTTGGAATTCTGCTGATCTGAGCTTGAACTCCATCTTTACCACTTATTAGCTGGGTGACTTTGAGCATATTGTTTATTAGTTTCCTAATTTATAGACTGAGGTTGTTTTGTAGATTATAGGAGACACTGAAAATCTCTTAGCATTCTGTGTTAATAAATACCATGCCTCAGATGGATATTATTTTTAATTGCACTATTTTATAGATCTTTGTTGACACTCTTCAGTAAAATCTCTGCTGATCTCACAGGAAATACAGTACTTAAGTTATTATTTTTATTACTGTCAATAATTACTAGTATCACTACTAGTAATAGATAGTCTTAGATTAGTTTTTTTTAGACCCCTTAAGGCTTAGGGGTCTTGAACTTAGAACAGTTTTCTTGGGGAATGGCTGTGTATTTCCGTTAACTTAAAAAACTAAATGCATTTTTAAAAGATGAGAAAGGTAGAAGGATTGTGGCCCCATCTTTTTCCTCTTTGTGCTTTTCTGTATTTTTTACAAAAATTAATAGACTTTATTTTTTTGAGCGGTTTCAGGTTCGCAGTAAAATTGAGCTGAAAGTTTAGAGTTCCTATCGGCTCCCTCCCTGCCACACATGCATAGCCTTCCCCACCATCAGTGTCCCACATCAGTGTGGTGTATTTGTCACAAAACCAACACTCATAGATCATTATCAACCAAAGTCCATAGTGAAAGAAACCAGAATATGTTACCCAAAAACATATCACTTTGGCATAAAGATTATTTTGAGCTGAAGGCCTTGAGAAGAAGCAGATACAGAAAGGAAAAGCTCCCTGCCTAAAAGCAATACATAAATTTTCACAGGTGTCCCTCCTCCCCTCTCTACCAGGGAGGACAGAACTTAATCAGTGGGGACAACCCATGATTAAGGTAAGACCCTTATCAGACTGGAAAGGAATCTGCATAACAAACTTTACTAACTAGCCTCTACCTGTCATTAGTTTCCCATGTGTATTTACTTTCCCACAGTATGCCGCCTGAGAAGCCTAAAACTATTTTCCTTTGCCCTGTCATTTCTCTACAAATGTGTTGTTTCTTTTTTGAAAATGCTATCAATATAAGGCTGAATTCGAGGCCACATCTTTGAAACTCTTCCCTGAGTTTCTCCCATGCATATATGAGATGTGTATGTTCATAAACTTCTGTGTGTTTTTCTTTTGGTAATCTCTTTTAATACAGAGTTTCAGCTGAGAACCTAAGATGGGCAGAGGAAGCGTTTTTCCTCCCCTAAAACTAGTTTGCATTAGGGTTCACTCTCTTGCAGCACATCCCATAGGTTTTGGCAAAGGTATCATTACAGTATCATACAGAATAGTTTCTCTGTCCTAAAAATCCTCTGCGCTCTAGGCCTATTCACCCCTCCCTCCCCTAAATCTTCTTGTAACCACTGATCTTTTTACTGTCACCATAGTTTCACCTTTTCCAGAATGCCATGTAGGTGAAATTATACTAAGCAATATCCTTTTAAAATTCCTCCATGTCCTGTCATGGTTTGACAGCGCATTTCTTTTTATCGCTGAATAATATTCGATGGTGTGGGTGTACATTCACACCATGTCCACTGAAGGACATCTTGGTTGCTTCCAAATTTTGGTAATTATGAACAAAGCTGCTAGAAACATTTCTGCAGGTTTTTGTATGGATGTAAGTTTTCAGCTCCTCTGGGTAAATGCCAAGGAGTGTGATTGCTGGATTGTCTGGTAAAAATATGTTTAGTTTTGTAAGAAACCACCAAATTGCCTTCCAAAGTGGCTGTGCCATTTTGCATTCCCATAATCAGTGAATAAGAGTTCCTGTTGCTCCACATTCTCACTAGCATTTGATGGTGTCAGCGCTTTGGAATTTAGTAATTCTAATAGATACATACTGGTATCTCATTTTCATTTGCAGTTGCCTAAATATGTGTGATGTTGAGCATCTTTTCGTATATTTATTTGCCATCTTGTATATCATATTTGGTAATGTGTCATTTGAGATCTTTTGCCCATTCTTTTACTTAAATTTTTTAAAAATTAAACTTGGGGTGATATTGGTTAATAAGATTATGTAAGTTTCAAGTGTATAGTATTATACTATATTATGTGTGTATTGTATTGCGTACCCATCACCCAAATCTTAGTCTCCTGTGTCACCATAATTTGACACTCTTTAATCTCTTCAACCTCCTCCTACCTTTACTGTTTTTTTTTTATTATTAAGTTTATTGGGGTGACATTGGTTAGTAAAATTAATAGGTTTCAAGTGCACATTTCTATAATACATCATCTATATATTGCATTGTGTATTTACCATCCAGAGTGATTTATCCTTCCATCACCATATAATTGAGCCCCTTTTCCCTCATCTACCATCCTTCCCCCTTACCCTCTGGTAACCACTAAATGTAGTACATATTTACAATGGAGTATTACTCAGCCATAAGAAAAGATGAAACACTGCCTTTTGTGACAACGTGGATGGACCTTGAGATTATCATGCTAAGCAAATAAGTCAGAAAAAATTGAGAGCATGTAACTTCACTCATATGTGGGATATAAAACTGAAAGCAAAAAACTAACAAAAACAGACAACAGTTTTGTCCATTTATTAATTGAGCTGCTTGCTTGTTTTTTTTATTGTTGAGTTTTAAGAGTTGTTTGTATAATTTAGTTAATAATCTTTATCAGATTTGTCTTTTGCACAGGTTTTCTCCCAGTCTGTGGCTTATCTTTTCTGTATTTTAAAAAATTTCTAAAAATCACTATTTCTCAGTGTTGTAGTCTAAAAAAGTATTACAACCTTTGTGAAAGATGGAAGGACCCCTGAATGAGCCTGGACGAGCTAACGCACAACACACCCTGGCTGTGTGGCAGTGCATAGCACTGCAGCCTGGGAATCTCTGGGGAAGAGGCATTTGAATAAACCCTGCCGTCATCTGTGACTCAAGTGCACTTTGTCTGGACACAGCGCTCCAGATTCAGCTAATGTTTCAGTGAGCATGTGTAGTTGCTCAGAATGAGATCTTTTTCATAGCCCACGGGCTGAGAGCCCTGGAAAGGATGAAGTGGGCAGAGTCGGGTTTGGTGATTTCATAATCCTAAATCAGCAGAAAAGCCAAAGGTCTTGTTCATGCTGATTCACCAAGAACAGCCTGGGGTGTTATAATCTTGCAGATCAGATCCCATCACACATAACTCCAAGGGGTTATCCAAATTACATGGGATTTTGCCATCTTGAATGCAACCTGAAGTAAGTGTTTGAGATTTCGGAAACTGCATACAATGCCATAAGTGGCTTTATTATTATTGTATGTGGCCTGTTTGATCTCAGGGGATTTGGTTTAGGATCAAGTGGCTCATCCCCTCCTAGGCTGCTTGGATTTATGGGATTTCTCCCACATTTTATGTATCCACTGGCTGAAGCTCTCCAATGTCTTAGGTCTGCATCTAGCTGGGGCCTCCTTACCCACAGGATCCTGAGTTTTCCCAGGACTATACCCTGCTGCTATTTGGCATCTGTGTAAAGACACCAGTTACACCTTCCTATTTTTTCACTGCCTGCCGCATTTCCCTGTATCAAACCATCTTGGGATCTCAGCATCTGCCTGAAATTGTATGAGGGTTGGGCTTGATTTATAATCCTTGCTCCCTCTCTGATTATTGATTCTGCCCACCTTTGGAATTTTCTCCAGCATCTTGTATCTCCCTGCCCATTTTTGTACCCCATGAGCTATGTAGGTAGCTCTATGCTGCAGTGGATTCTGGCTCTCTTCTGGGAAATAGGTAGACTAATTAAAAATTAGAAATAAAATAAATAACCAATCAAATAAATAAAATTAGATTTGTAAACTAAAATAGGATTTGTCAGTTGTTTGCCAGTGTATTCTCCCTGGCAGGGAAGTTGGCAGAGCAGGGAGCTACAATCACAAGCCTTGTCCTTGCAGACCACAGAACAGTGTCATGGAGTGAATACTCCTGTCATTGCACTTCTTTCCTGGCCTTGGCTCTTGCTGCCGGTTCCTGACAGGGAAGCTACATTTAGGGAGGTAGCCTCGTGTCAGTAATATGACAGTGACAGGCTCAGTGGTGGGGGCCTGTGGGTTAGGCAGAGGGCATGTGAGCTGGGTCAGGCTGTCCAGCATCTGGGCTGGTCTCCAAAGTCATTTGGGAAAACGGTCTGGCTTTGTTTGAAAGCCTTATTCTTAAAATCACAAAGAGCAACTGTTGTTTTCAGAATACCTGATGACTCAAGTATCTGATATGACCTTTGGGTCATAAAATTACCCTCAAACCCATGCAGTTGGAAGGCGATATCAGTTGAGTGCCAGGAAAATCATGAATATTCATTAGATACCTCATCATGATGATGATTAATAATACCCTTAAAGCTATAAATGTCTGAACTCTCTTATGGACAATTGAGCTTGAGAGTGGTTTATTTTAGTTTGTCTACATGAGAAATTAATTTTTGACATGATAGTTAACATCAGTATTGACTTCTCTTAAAGCTTATCAGAATACAAATGTGTCTACCAAATAAGATTTTATCGGAATTTAGCTCAGATCACATCTGTGAGTTATTTTGCTAACCAGACATTCCTGAGTCAGGGGAAACACACACATACACACACAGAGACAGAGACAGAGAGAGAAAGAGAGAGAGAGAGAGAGAGAGAGAGAGAGAGAGAGAGAGAGAGAGAG